GTTTTCATCAGCTGTTGGCAAATTACAGCGCTCCATAATCCTCCAGGCGGCATTTACGCTAATTCACAAAAATGGCAACAGCAACAGTTGGAATAAAATAGCAGAGTCAGCTGGTTGATCAATAATAACTGAATACATTTTTTCTGTTGAATATTCATTACCCATATATACATAATCACAAAACTTTGACCTTTATGAACTTAAAAATTTCCCGAAGTATGAAAAACAAACTACTACTGCAACTCATAAAAACTAAACTATAACTAAATATTTAACCAATAATAACACTAAAAACTAATTAAAACTAACTGAATTAGACAAACAGCAAGTCGAAATGAAATAAAATGAACTATAATAAAAAATCTAAAACTATTATAAGCCTGGCTCTCATGCTGTCACTTTATCAACAAGCAGCTTCTTCAGCGATGACATCACGTGTCTGAGCCTACATGACTGTCAGCAATCTTCCTCATGATTGGCTAATATATTAATCAGTTATTCTTATTAACAATTGAAAAATATGCTGAGACTGTATTCAAGTTCCTCTTTTAGCTACTTTAAATAACATTTAAAATATGAACTAATATTGTGGTGCGGTCAAACCCCTCAACGCTGCGTCAAGCTGAACTAAAAAAAGATCCATGGATTTGCTGACAATAAAACACAATGACTTAAAAAATAAACTCAAAGTTAACATTTAATGCAACAAACCGAAACTGATTATTAAAAGTCTTTTCCTGATTGAAAAGTCCGAACAAAAGAAATATTCATAATTGATTCTGATTGGTCTGCAGCTGTGATGTTCAGTGGTGCCCTGAAGGGGCCATGGCACGCTCTATAAAACAAACAAACAAAGACACTTATATACATTCAGAGTTGGGTAGTAACCAGTTAGATTTCCTCGAGTAAATTCTTGGGGGAAAACAATTTACTTTTAGGAGTTTTTTTTTTTTACTTGAGTAATTTCATTAGGAAGTATTCCTACTCTTACTTGAGTAAAATGTAAGAGTACATTTTAGTCTTACATAAAGAGTAAAATGCATAACTTTGAATAACTGAAGTTATTCAAAGTTATGCATACTTTGAATAACTTCACTGACTTACGAACAAACTTGTTTTAACCAAGAATTCACCAGAAATACAGAGAAAAAGCATCACTGCTGTGCTGACATTTCTGCTTCAGTTAAACACTTCAGAATCCTGCTGCATCAGCATATTGGCCAGGTTTTAGTTATTAATATTGGCCAGGTTCTAGTTATTAATATTGGCCAGGTTCTAGTTATTAATATTGGCCAGGTTTTTGTTATTAATATTGGCCAGGTTTTAGTGGTTGAAGCGACATGCTAAAAAAAAAGCCTAACATTGGCTGATAGCAATGTTAAATGTTGATATATCATGCATCCTTGTGACAGTTTAAGTTATTTCATTATGGACTGCAGCAGATGAAACATTAAATAAACAAATATTTTTATGATTTTATATAATAAATTAAAGTTAGATTCATTTAAACATTTAATAACTATTGTGTAAGCAATTATACATTTTTATTTACTGAATGTATTTATTGCAGATTTATTTTAATTCATCACACATTTAAAAATATATATTTGGGATGTCACCTTGGAGTCAGTGACTCCGCCTTTTCGGCGCGTCGCTAGACGCTCTGGCGGTTAAATGGTGCGGAGCCGTGCTGAAACGTTTCTGAAACAAACTCATTCGCCGAGTAGACAGATACACTTCAAGTTTGGATATTTACCAGTTGCTTTCCGTCACAGTAACATTTCTAAAGTTTAATGTCGTAATTTAATCAAGAAGAAATGAGGGGGAAAAAAGTATTTTTTCCCCGTTAGTGTCGGTGCAGGAAGTACTCGGGTTACATCCCACTCCCAACAAACACAACTTGAAAAAAAGTCTAAATAAAGCAACAAGAAGCTTCTTACCTGAACATGTTGTCTGCTGGCTCTCGCACAGTAACAGCTGGTTTGGTTTCATATTCACCCCCCTTTTCTCCATCACCGTTTATCTCCTTGCATCATATTACACCTGTACGTAAGGGGATTTATCCATCCCACCGGGAATCCCGGAGTTTTTTTTTGTTTGTTTGTTTCCTTTTCGCTTCAGGTGCAGCAGCTGTTCGCAGCGACAACTCGAATACAAGTTTAAGGTATTCCTTCATTTTCTGTATTTCCTAACATAAACACAAAGAGCTGAGGAGAAAGTTCGTAGCACATTTTATCAGTAACTTGAGGAGCAAACGAGGACGATGTGTTGCTCTCACCTTTTGGAGTCTTCTGCCACCTGCTGGTGATGTCCACGCACTGGAGCCTACTGCGCATTTTTAAAAGCACATATTCCAAACCCACTTAATAAATTATTGAAGTTACTTTAAATGAACCACAATATATAAACTAATTACACACAAACTGATGTTTTAAAGTCTTTATTTCTGAAGAAATGCAGTGATTGGACCAACAAATAACTTCAAGTCAGTGGGACTAAAGTTTGTTGATACAATTTGTTCCCAATCAATTCATTGTAGAATTTAAAGGGATTTTTTTAAAATCCGCATGTCAAAGTGAAGGTCCGTGGGCCAAATTCGGTCCGCCATAAGCATTTCTGTGGCGCTCTGGACTCTAAAAGGCTACAGAAATCAAACCCTCAAGATAACATTTGTGTGCTTATATTTTATTTGATCCATCAAATAAAATAATTTTTGTACACTGCCAAATTACATCAACGTGAAAACATGTTTATTTCATTTGTAGATTCAGCAATTTATTAACATTTCAACAGTTTGTTAATGAGTACTTTTCTGAATAATTTCTGCCACTACTAGCCCGTTGGGTACATTCATGATCTTGATTTGACCAAAACTGAAAATGACTTTGGCACTCCTTTAATCCATCATTCACTGTTTCTGGCGCCCCCTGATGGAGAACATCCACCTGCTTGTAAAACCATTTATTTCTTTAATCATTGTGGGAAAATGTGCCAAATAAGGACAGATTCAACTTTTCTATCTTTAACTGATTATTAAAAAACTTGTTACTGCATCTGATTGGATGTTAGGGCCCCGCCAATATGGCTTAAAATTAACAGAAAAAAAATTGTCTTAATGAGAAAAAAACTTGAATAGTGTTATAATCTGATATGACTAGCTCAGTCCATGTAGTTCTTCCTTCAAAATACACTGGTTTGGAGTTGACCTGTTTGCCAATGCCAAATACATACAAGCTGTCAAAAAAATGTCAAACAAGATGGCCGCCCTGGGCGACATCTCTCTAAACTATGGAAACCCAAGGAGTGCATTGGTGGGGAAAAAAACCCCTGTAGGTTTCAAAAATGAAACCTTCAAAAACCAAAAATCCATTTAATGGATAAAATTGATTTATATTTTAACTCAAAATGATCTTTAATAATTCAACTTAGAATGTAAAGCATTGAAAACACTCAACACTAGCTGCATTTCTATTAACACTGCGCAACTGGACATTTAGAAAATAAATTTGCTTAATGAGAAACATGCCGATTTTCTTAAAAAACAAAACACTCCATTAAAAAGTTTTGGAGATAGAATGAGGTGGTTTTTCTTGGCCGTATAAAATTAGTTTACTTCACAAAGGTGCAATGGAAACACTTTTTTCCCCGCATCACACAAGTCACATCAACAACAACCGGATATTGCCACAGGTGCAAACATTGAGAAGACAACAGGAAGTAGTTACAGGGATAGTCGGCACGGTCACAGGATTATGGAGAGGCATATTTTTTCATGTCTTATGTGAACAAACTTATTCACATGTGATTTTTATTGTGTTTATTTAATGGAAACGCAGCAATTGGGATGTAGCTATTTTGGACATTAGCAGAATGTTGACAAAGTTTTGCGCACGTTTGAAATGGAAACAGCTAGTGTTCAGGGTTTAACAAGAACCAAGGCAATGGATGAGAGAGCAAAAATAACGAGCAGAAACTTTGTTTTATTGACCGGGAGTAGGTTTTATATAAAATTTGAACAGTGGATACAGAGGCGATATTATGTGTATAAAAAAATACATACAATAAAAGGAAAATAAATGAATCTTATTTTCTATTTTTGAGCAGATGTTCAAGTTAGCTGATGAAATGTAAAAGGCACTAAATGTACAACATTCCAGTTTTAAAGACATTAAACAGAGGCCATGGTTATTTCGAGGAAAAAAACAAAACAAAACAATCACAGGGCATTCGTTGTCTTTGTTATGCAAGACATAGTGCAGATTTCACACAACATACCAAACAATTCGTAAATAACACACAACTATCTAACCATCGAAAAACACTGAGCACGCTCTGTAAGACTCAACGTGACTGAACCGTTCAGCCCTGCGTAAAACCCGAAACCCTGCCGGCCGTACACAAGCTCAGCCGGATCGGGAGTCTTTCATAATTTATAGTTTACATCACAATTTTTACAACATCACTAAACACTGCGACAAGTCACGATTAGAAGCCAAGTGACCAGCAGTAAAGGGTTTTGTCAGTATTTTTTTTACATGTTTGTTCCTTTTCCTGTCGGGTTAGTCGGTGACATGCATGGTGCCGAGCGGCAACGGAAAACAAAACAAGAACCGAACACTTCATGTTGGGTTCAGGACGACAAGACGGGTCAAGTGGAAGACAACACAGTGCCTGCATCGTTTGGAGTTAAAATGGACAAAATAAGGATTTCTTTTGTAATTTAGTCATAAAGGATAGTAAAATGACAAAGGAGAGAAAATAAAATAAAATAAAATAATGAAATTACACAGCCCTTTTTTGGACCTCCACTATTCAGGCGTATATTACAGAAGAAACACCAACTAAAGTTCAAACATATCTAGGAAAGTTGGACTGAGTCACTCAATTTGCATTTGATACCTTTTATGGCTTTTATAAAGTCACAGTTCTGTTTTGGGGTTTTATTTTTTAAGATTTTAGGACGGAATGTTCAGCTTAGTTTCAACCCTGAGAAAAATTCGTTTTTTTTTTTTTTAACGTAAAACATAGTTTTTTTCTCCGTTTTCACCTAATACATCTTTCACTGCTAAAGGTCTGATCTATTTTTGTTAAATTTCCCTGGAGTGCATGGCCCAAAATAAATTGTATTATATCTCTGGCACGTAAGGTTAATTTGAATTGTTTTGGTATCAAAAGTAAGACTCCAGAGAAAGGGGTCTAAAAATCTACACTCATATTACTGAATAAAAGTAAATGAGTATGGCACACAGCGGTAATTTTGCCACAAAAAAAAGTACTTTGTGATGATAATATCCTGTTCAAAGTATGCAGTTGCAATCCAAAACATTTAGAAAACCACAGTATACAACCTGACCACTTAATGCACCAAACTCCAGTAAATAAAAACAGCTAAGCTTAGAAATTTTGGGGACATATTAGTTGATAAAACTCAAGGTGAACTTTCCAAATGAGCAATTTTGGAACAATTTAGCACCGCCTGTGCCATTTGAAATCTCTCAGGTTATCTCCACACCACTTATATATCATCATGGTTTGTCATTCTCTCTAATAACTGCAATGAAACCAATAGTAAAATAATACTTCTACAAGTATTCTGAGCTCAGCGGGTCAAAGCATTCAGTACTCCGGTCAGACATTGTAAACTACGGAGGGAAATTTCTGGAGCAGACTGGGTGATTTGGATGATTGGCACATCCATTGAACCGTCAATTATTCACGTCATTCACCCGTCAAAGTGAGAGAGGTGCATCTGCCACTGAAAAAGGTGAAACCAGTCAGAAATCACACAGAAATAAAAAAATTACAGGAGCCGAGTGGAAATATTTACTCCACCATAAATTATTACCATAAAACAGCAAAGGTAAGACGCTATTTATGTTTTTGGCTTTGTGAAATAAGCATTATTTTCCTTTTCTTCAACTCGTGGTTCAGTGAGTATTAATGCTGTTGGACAGAGGAAAGTTTGAGGTTTAATTTTAAAGTCTGCTTGTGTGGACAGGAGTGTTCTTGCTAGGAGTTTTTAAAGTTTTTTTTTTCCATTTGACTGCTTTTTGTTGAGGTAGAAAATGTTGTTTCCATCATTTAGATGAGCCTGTATTGGTTAATATAAAGCACGTAGTTGGACTGTTCTTATTAATGCTGCTGATATGCTATTCTGGTTAGAGGACTAAAATGTTTACTAAACGAAGAAATCTTTAATTCTGACCATTGTGAACCATTCACACCAATACTTTATGCAGGCACTGTGTACGTTTTAGTGTCTGGTTACAAAGAATTAAGACTTTAAGCGAAAACAACAAAGAAATCAGCATCTTTCTGGACCTCTTCAGCAAACCATCGTCCTTCCTCTGGAAAGACACCCACAGGCACACCACACTGGAATGACTTACAGTAAACGGCACGACATTTTCAACTGTTAAGAAAACAAACACACTTATGGGAACTTACTGCATTCGAGATCATGAGCTGATGGCTTGCAGACTGGTTGCACAACAAAAAGTCAACATAGTTAAAGCAAATTTGGCTTTAAAATGCTTTAAGACAACAGGAAATAAAAATAATTTGGAATGCATTTAAAGCTCAACACTATCTGTAAAATAAAACCGTTCATATTTGGCCCGTTAATGAGGAAAAACATGATACAGACAAAAAAAACAAAAAAAAAGACATTTGGGAAAAAAGAATGCTTGTTGTTAGTAAATTGCATGCAAACCGTGTATTTAGAAGTTGTTTTGTTATGCAAAATGACATCTCCCTGTTTTTATAAAAAGAGAAAAAGTCACCTCGGCGCAACATTTATTAACATGCCTAGTTCATTTAAAAAGCAAATAATTTAACATGACGCTGAATAACCAAAACTCCCCCAATAATTCAAATTAAATTAAACCCAAAATTCTTGATTTTCTTTAAGCTGCTGAGATAAAAATCCAAAAGGGGAGTTTACGTATTATTTTTTTCAACAGGTACCACGACAACATGCCAGAACTTCACAGAAAGCTGAAGCATTCACAGTAACACGACGTCAGGCGGCTTCTTCTGCGCAAAAACTAGCTGAGTGAGCACTACCTACTTCACTACACTTCGTAGATGTTACTAGAACTGCATGCAATGTTCCTGTGGGCCAATATCTAACTTTACATTACTATACGCCTCTACAACACAAGATCACAATGGAGATGCCCATGATGGAGATCAACTGTGGCTTCTGCAGACTGTTGCACCCGAAAGGCTACTTTAGATTTATTTTACCAAGCTGTACTTTCACTAGACTGAATCAAAATTGTCATCCAAATGTCATTGAGCACAAAATAACAACTACAAACAACAGAGGTATTTTGCTTCAAGTTTGACTAAATTTCGAGTCCCTACTGAAGCTCAAAATTATCCTGTGCAGCCAAATGCTTAAAAATATGTTTTTGTTTTTAGCTATCACATCTTATGAACTGTTGCTAAGTGTTTAAAATAGTATTCATAGTGTTTAAATTTTTGCAGATGTGTTAACCTTTTGGATAAAAACATAAAAACTTAATTTAGTGCAAGTGGCCATATGTTTGGACGGATCTTTTTCTTGCACCGTTTGGTTCTGTTTGTAAGGTACACAGATAGAAATGCTCTACCTAACGACTACATTCACTTCAGCCCTGTTTAGTCTGCTTTAACAAAACTGCAGTCGGTTCGTCTAGAAAGTTTGATTCGTTTTGGGAGGAGTTAATCAACCTCTGAAGCGGTCTGGATGTTTATGTGAATGCAAATTGGACCAAAGACTGCTCCAGAAGCAGGAAGCGGACTACAGCACAGGGCATTCTGGGTAAATAAAACCAAATTAAATTGCACAAGTCTAACGGTAGCAAGCAAAGCCATAAGAGACTACATTTTTGTTTACATTTTGTTAAGAAGGAAGTTGTTTTTAGTGTCTTCTTCAGAGGTTTTTGTGACATTTCCTTCAATGGTTCTTGGTGCAGCGCCACCACAGGCGAGGAGGGAAACAGGTTTTTCAAAAACTGGTTTATTTGAGACAGTGCATTGTTGTTAAAGAGAACTGCAGCAGCTGAAAATATAGCAAAAGCTGCAATTTTGGTTCCTAACTGAACTGAGTCTACTGGACTATCAGGTATGGAAAAAAACGCTAAGCCACCGTCAGATAAAGAAAACTGACATAAAATAATTGAAAAGTAGCTTCATTTTTACCATCTCATCTTTCTAAAGTCTACATTTTTTCTCTGTAGTTTAGACTCCTCTCACATTTCATCACCAGAGAAAGCACAGATGGTGTTGTGTATTTACAGCGCACCTTTAACTTCTGTACCTTTGCCTTTTTTTTTGCGTTTTTTTTTAAGTTTGACATTGCCTGCATTTCATCAGGGTAAACATTGTCGACTCAAAGCACCATGATGTCAGGATCTTAAGTGAGGAGCAGAACCTGACTTTTAGGAAACAATCTGAGCTCGTTTGGCTGAATCCCATCATCCTCACCTCCCTGATGTCCCAGCATGTAATTCAAACAGTATGTAAAACATAACTGGGGCACTCTTTTAATGGGTTAATACAGCACAAAGATTTTAATGAATTACAGAAATAATCTAAACATCTACCTTGTAATTCAATCCATACTTTTTTTTGTGGAAGATTTTCATCTATTTTGGGTGAGACTGACTGAGTGACCTCGGATTTATTGGTAAACATGTTCTTACAGTAAATTATCAGTATAAAATACTCAGTTTGTAGTTGAAGTGGGTATGAAACGTCTCCAAGGTAAGCAAGCTGACATCTAGCTGGTATGGAACATCTTAAATGCCAAACATCAGGTATGACGTGATCAAAACGACAAATCAAAAAGCAGCTAAATATGATTTCCTGTGTCTGAAATCAGGTAAAAACATATTTTATTTAATTGTAATAAATCACAAGGAGTTTCCTGTTTCCTTAGGGTGTATTTTACGCATTTATCATTGGAGGTTGAGTGTTAAACTTAATGGGATTCAGCCCTACTCTGTCAGCCGACATACAACTCTTTAACTTAAAAAAATGCATATAATTTTGTATGAAACAAAAATATTGTACTCCATGAAATTGAGATAAATAAGAGTCAAACTGATTTTCCATACAGCATGTTCAGGAGTTTTAGTTATGTAGTAAGCAATGCCATTTTCTTTCACTGAAACTGATTGTTCATTTGATGAAACAGAAATCTCTGCATGACTTTAGCCTTCACTTGTTAAGACATGGAAGTCAGTAAATTTTAGCTGACTTGGTGCAACAGCCTGCAGATCTGTAATATGCTGGGCGTGTCTGAGGCGACTAGGTGGTTAAGGGGGGGCACAACAATTTAAGGGTTAAAATAAAATAATTTACACTTGGAATGATGTCAATGAAGGCATTATTTTTACTTTGATCCCTGTGTTGGAGAAATTTTTAAAGGCTGATATGATGTAGTATCAACTGGAGTGTTTTCATAGCTTTTTTTTTTCTTTAAGTCAACAACTAATACATTAGTTTATCATATAACATGCTTTCATAGGACAAAATATGGAGAAAGAAGAGAGTAGAGAGAGAAACTGCACCAGTTCTGTCCCTGTTAAAACCTTTCCCACCCTTCCCAAGAGCAGCTAAATGAGAGGTCTCATACTTTACTATGTTTTCTTTTGTTTTTTTTTTTTCTTTTCTTTTCTTTTAGTTTTTTTGTTTTGGTCCCCATCTTCAGTTTTTACGGATGTCAGCGTAGACCACGGGCTCCATCTTATGGAACGAGTTTTTACTGCCTGAGTGATCCAACTGGACGTATATCACCGGGCCCTGAAGCACAAAACAAAACGCACACAACAGAGGAAAACCGGTGAGTAGAAATCAAAACATTCACATAATCAGAAGCAAATTAACAAACAGGTATGGGGCTAAATTGGGACCAGAAAGTTTGTCATACAACAAAAAAAACAACTTTCTTAGCTAAAAAATTATTTTAACCGAAACAAAAGAAGAAAAGTTTGAAACAAAGAAAAAATATATTTAACCTAAAAAAAGATGTGAAACTAAAAATATCTTGAAATCGGGAACATTTGATTTTTTTTCCCCAACCTTTTTTTCCCAGTTTGAAAATATATTTTAAAAATATATATTTAAAAATTTATATTTCATTGATTACCGCAACAGTGCATTCAAAGGTCTACCTAAAAAAAAAAAAAAAAAAAAAAAAAAACAATCTCCCAATCGTAAGTAAAATGGAACGGACACGCCCATTTTC